TCAAAAGGTTTATTACTGTGGCTTCTAGAATCTAAAATCCAAACTTGAAAACATATTTACGTATCATGGCTAGTCTCCTCAAGGTCTCAAGAAAGAGAGACACACATGATTACCTTGATTGGTATGGTTTTGTTGTATAGGAACATACAGGCAAATGACACAAATAATTAGCTAGGAGGAGAAAGTGGTTGCCTCTAGGGAGAAAGAAATTAAACAGTGGGGCAGTAACAGTAACAAGGACTGTTTCTTTGCTACATGTTGTTTTTCAATTTGATTGTTTATTAACTTCCCACTGTGAAAAAATTAGAATTGGGTTTTCCTCTTCTCCCACTTTTGAGCACCATTCCTGTCCTCTAACCTCTCAATGTCATAATGCTGGTTAGAGCAGCATTCAGTGTTGATGTTATGACCGTAGACACTATTTACAGCTGAACCATGTAGTAAACTATCCTTACTTTTCCTGCTTTCCTGTAATTGTTTTCGCTTGTTATTTTGGATAATTTTCTGTGTATTTATCACTAATTTAACTCTGAGTACATAAATCTTGCCTCGGAGTGTTTAAATATCACAGATTCTCTCAATTTCATCGTCTGGAAGAACCTTTCCTTTAAGCCTTCCAGCTAATAACTTGTTCCTGTCTGGGCTTGTTTTCCTCCAGGCCTGGTGCTAGTGTCATCTCAGAATTCCCTGCACTCTCGCCTGGGGGTTCCCTTTGCCTCTCTCCAGTGTTGGATTTCCTTTCTCCAGTGCCCCATAACTTTCTTAAAACCTTCTCTGTTTGGGGGGAACCCATCTCCAATAGCTTCCTGAGAAATGGTGAATTTTTCAGACCTTACATGTCTAAAAATATCCTTTTTAAATCTAACTTGATTTAAGGTATTTATGGTATCGATTCCAAGTCGAAAGTCTTTTTCCTTCTCAGTATTGTCTGCAAGGTTTTGTTTCCTTCTGGTTTCAGTATTGTAATAGAGAAATCTAAAGCCCTTCTGATTGCTGAACTTTTTTGGTCCCTGGCTTTTGCTTTTTTCTTTCTTGTCCACTGTACTCTGAAATCTCACAGCGATTGCTTCATCTTAAAATACTCAGTATGCAAAGGTGCCATATTATCACAATGGTGTGTTCTGAGTCCCATCATCAGAAAAAACTCAGAGGAGTTGACTGTAGTTTTAGTCAAAGCAGTCTTTGTCAATCTTTGATAGGCCTTTTCAGTCTGGAAATGTCCTTCAGTTCTAAAAATCTTTTTTGAGTTGCTTATTTTCTCTCGTCTCTTTTGTGCTGTTTCATTTACTAAAATTCCTTTTATTTTGTTAGAACTCCTGTACTATTCTAACTTTATTTTTTTCTCTCTCATTCTTCATCTTTTTGCCTTTTTACTATATTTTCTGGAAGATTTTTATTAACCTTATCTCCTAATCGTACTACATGTTTTTATTTCTGTTGTGAGATTCTTAATTTTCAGGAACTCTTTGTTTCGTAAATGTTCCTTTTATACTAACCTACTCTTGTTTCATAGTTGCAATTTCTTCTTTTTTGGCTGAGGGCATTATATTCTATGGGGTTTGGTTTTGTTTTGTTTTGTTTTGTTTGTTTTGTTTTGTTTTGTTTGTTTTGTTTTGTTTTGTTAACAAAGGAATATAGACATTCCTTTGTTTGCTTGTTGGTTTTTATTCACTGTCTTAAACATGACTTTCCAACAAGATGACTAGTAATCCTGATTGTCTTGGGATGTTTACTAATTATGTTCTGATGGAAACTACAGAGTTATTTAGGAGCTTTGAGAATGTGAGGGGGAATCTTTTGTAGGTTGTAAGCCGCACTGCAGGATAATCTGGATGACCTCTTCAGTTGGGAACCTTCCAACACTGGTATCATAGAGTCTTTCCTCCTGAGCTGGTGAAATAACTTAGAAAAAGACTCTTCTAATCTTCATGTAGGGTAAAGGCCTAACTGCCAGAATTATGGAAGCTGAGTGTGTAAAGAAGACTTAGGAATCTACATATATTCTTGTAATCTTTCTTTTTTTTTTTAATATATTGTCACTTTCTTCATCTGTGCCTGTGTTTTACCCTCTTCAAAGATTAGATCTCCAGCCTTTCCCATAGTGAGATTGGGGCACTTCTCAACTCAATGTGGGAAGAGACTCTGAGGATCTGAATGTTTGTTGAACAAACTTTCAATAGACTTCTTTTTTTTTTTTTTTTTTGAGACAGTGTTTCGCTGTTGTTACCCAGACTGGAGTGCAATGGCACGATCTCGGCTCACCGCAACCTCCGCCTCCTGGGCTCAGGCAATTCTCCTGCCTCAGCCTCCCGAGTAGCTGGGACTACAGGTGTGCGCCACCATGCCCAGCTAATTTTTGTATTTTTAGTAGAGATGGGGTTTCACCTTGTTGACCAGGATGGTCTCGATCTCTTGACCTCGTGATCTACCCGCCTCGGCCTCCCAAAGTGCTGGGATTATAGGCGTGAGCCACCGCACCCGGCCTCAACAGACTTCTTATTTCAGCCACCCTTCCTTCCACTTCACCCTCCACTTCCAGATTTCTCGTATCTTCAGACTGAGGAATTCTGCAGTGCAAATCTGATTGGTTTTCAGCTTTCCCCACTGCCTATTTAGCCTTCCATTTCCTCATGTCTGATAAGTCACTTATCACTCATCTATATGTCATCACATTTGCCCTATTCCCACAGAATATTCCATTATTGGGAAGATTTATTAAATATTTTCCAAGCATGGCCAGGTGCAATGGTTCACCCCTGTAATCCCAGCACTTTGGGAGGCCAAGGCAGGCAGATCACTTGAGGTCAGGTGTTTGAGACCACCCTGGCCAACATGGTGAAACCACATCTTTACTAAAAATACAAAAATTAGCTAGGTGTGATGGTGGGCCCCTGTAATCCTAGCTACTTGGGAGACTGAGGCAGGAGAATTGCTTGAACCTGGGAGGCAGAAGTTATAATGAGCCAAGATCGCACCACTGCACTCCAGCCTGGGCAACAGAACAAGACACTATCCAAAAAAAAAATTATATAGATGGATAGAGATATAGATATATATTCTAAACACATAACTCAATACTGACTAGAATAGATAGGTAATTATCCTCTTAAATATAATTTAAATCATATTTCTTCAGACATTTATTGCTATTTCCTGTGATTTATTTATGTAAAATGGAGAGGTTAATAATACCCACCCCAAAGTAGTGTGAAGATTAAATGTATAATACATGTAAATCCCTGAAGAGAGTGCCTGGCACATAGAAAGCAATGTATTTCTAAAATTAGCTACTACTAAGTGCCAAACATTAAGTGTATAAAAATGAAAATGAAGTAAGAGTCCTGCCCTCCAGAACTCATAACCTTGTAAGGTAGAATAGTTAACAGATAAAACAATGTGAAGCCTACAGAATAACATACAATTCAAAGTAGAAGAATAATATAGAGGCAATAGTGACCAGTACAGAGAATTCAGTCTGTATATTGCTGAGAAGTCAGGGGCTGCTTTGCAGAACAGATTATTTGAACTCAGCTCTTTGTTTATCTGGTTTATTGTTGGCATAGTTAGGAAACTTAATGTAAATGTAAATGAGAATTTTTGAAACAAAATACCTGTCATACTTTAAAAGTATTATAATCAGTTCTGTCAACAAAAACTGAAAATTAGAAGAGAGGAAATAAAAGCATGCTAAATTTCTTATGCAGGGTAGAATTTATTTAAAATTTTTAATTAGAGAGAAAAAAATAGATTAAAGAGTCTTTCCGACCACCTGCTGCCTGTTAAGAAAGTTTCTTTTAAGCTTTTAGATAATAACTACTAAAATCTTTTTTTTGCCATTTATTAAGCATGCAACTTTGTGCCACCTACTATGCTAAGCACTTAAATACTTGTCTTGGAAAATATATAATGATGCCAGCCTGAGCAACATAAAGAGACCTTGTCTTTACAAAAAATAAAAATAAATTGGCTAAGCATGGTGGCACATACCTGTGCTCTGAGCTACTCGGGAGGCTGAAGTGGGCGAACTGCTTGAGCCCAGGAGGACGAGGCTACAGTGAGCCAGCATCACACCACTGCACTTTAGGCTGGGTTACAGAGCAACACCCTATCTCAAAAGTAAATAAACGTGTGTGTGTGTGTGTGTGTGTGTTTGTATGTGTGTCTGTGTATAAAATGGTATGAACATATATAATGATGTAGGAAAATACAATATAGTAAGCTAAGAATTCAAAAATCAGGTATTAAAACAATCTCAGTTTTTATTTTAAAATATAAATATGCATAGAAAAATAAAAATGTATATATTATATAATAATGAAAACAGTCCCTCTGAGGAATAGAAATGATTGTTGATGTTCATCTCCTTTAAGCACTTTCCTTTTCTATTTTCCAAATCGTTATAAGCAGTGCTTATTACTTACAAAGTGAGAAAAAAGGTGGGAAGCCAGATGAAGTGGCTTATACTTGTAATCCCAGCACTTTAGGAGGCCAAGGTGGTAGGACTGCTTGAGTCCAAGAGTTCAAGACCAGCCTGGTCAATATTGTGAGATCCTGTCTCTACAAAAAATAAAAATAAATTAGCTGGGCTGGGTGGCTCACACCTGTGGTTCCAGCTACTCAGGAGGCTGAGGTGGGAAGATCATTTGAGCCGGGAAGATTGAGCCTGCAGTGACCTGTGATCTTGCCTCTGTACTGCAGCCTGGACACAGAGTGAGACCTTGTCTCAAAAAAAGAAGAAGAAAAGAAAAAGTATGGGAAAAGTATTAAATTTGACTTGAGAGTGAGAATCTTGGTTTAGTTAAAGGGGAAAATGTTCTAATGATAATTTTCAGTAGGTACAAGAAAAAGCTTTTTAACTTGTTTATTTGTTAAGTTTATTTGTTTATTTGTTAACTTGTTTATTTGTTTATCCTAAAAATAAGGATAGAAAATAATTCTCATAATTTCTTCTAAGCCTCAGTTCATAAGTGTTATTATTCCTTATTTCTTCTTTCAACCAGAGTTCTGTATACACCTGGCCACACTGATGATCATATGGCTCTACTCTTAGAAGAGGAAAATGCTATCTTTTCTGGAGATTGCATCCTAGGGGAAGGAACAACAATATTTGAAGACCTCTATGATTATATGAACTCTCTAAAAGAGTTATTGAAAATCAAAGCTGATATTATATATCCAGGTGGGTACTTTTTAATTTTTTTATATTTTTAAATAGAGACAGGTCTTGCTATGTTGTCCAGGCTGGTGTCAAACTCCTAACCTCAGGCAGTCCTTCCCCCTCGACCTCCCAAAGTGCTGGGTTTACAGGCATGCCAAAGTGCATAGTTTTTCAAACCTAGCAAACCATTTGTGTCAAATGATGAGGAAGGTTCATTTTGGCTTGTCTCTCTATGTATTTGTCCTTGAAGAGATAACATATAAGTCCAGGTCGGTGGCTCACGCTTGTAATCCCAGTACTTCGGGAGGCCAAGGTAGGCAGATCACGAGGTCAAGAGTTCGAGACCAGCCTGGTCAATATGGTGAAATCCCTTCTCTACTAAAAATACAAAAATTAGCTGGGCGTGGTGGCACGTGCCTATAATCCCAGATACTTGGGAGGCTGAGACAGGAGAATCACTTGAACCCAGGAGGCAGAGGTTGCAGTGAGCTGAGATTGTGCCACTGCATGCCAGCCTGGGCAACAGAGAAAGAATCCGTCTCAGAGAAAAAAAAAAATACAAACTACTTCTTTAAAATATACCCTCTTTGGGAGGCCTAGGTGGGCAGATCTTCTGAGGTCAGGAGTTCAACACCAGCTTGGCCAGCATGGTGAAACCCTGTCTCTCTACTAATAATACAAAAATTGGCCAGGCGTCGTGGTACACACCTGTAATCTCAGCTACTTGGGAGGCTGAGGCAGGAGAATTGCTTGAACCTGGGAGTCACAGGTTGCAGCCTGGGCAACAGAGCGAGATTCTGTCTCAAAAAAAAAAACGTAAGTCTTGTCTAGCCATGCAGTTAAAGAGAAGGGATGGAGAGCCATATTAATAACTTTTGATAAAGATATGAGGATTCTTTTTCAACATAAATACAGTTATTAATAGAACTGCTAAACAAAAGAAATAAGTTTACATTGAAACGGGAAAATATTTTCATTCCATAAGCTACCATCATTTTTGTTAACTTGATTTCTGTTTGGACTACATTTTAGCTATGTAACTTTGGGTAATGTTTGACCTCTGAGCTTCTTAATTTACGATATTGAAATACCAATAGCTTCTATATCACCTGTAAAATGGTGTCTTTATTTCCATTCTCCAGAAAAAGAAACATGTTAGTATCTCAGATCTCACTAGACTGCTCTACGATATGAATCTCTCCTTCATCTTAAGAGCTAAGAAATGCCTAGGTGCAGTGGCTCACGCCTGTAATCCCAAATTGGGAGGCCAAGGCAGGCGCATCACCTGAGATCAGGAGTTAAAGACCAGCCTGGCCAACATGGCAAAACCCTGTCTCTACTAAAAATACAAAAATTAGCCAAGCATGGTGGTGGGTGCCTGTAATAACAGCTTCTCAAGAGGCTGAGGCAGGAAAATCACGTGAATCTGGGAGGCGGAGGTTGCAGTGAGCGATCACACAACAGAGTGTGACTCCTCAAAAAAAAAAGCTAAGAAAGAGGAACCAACAAAAAGGCCCAAAAGGAAAAAGAGACTAGATTACTTAATTTTCTAAGTTCTTCTAACTTGTTCCTAACCAAGCCATTGAAAGATCCATCCATCCAGTATCTTCAACACATTTACACTGTGCAATGAGTTCCTACTGCTGGGGGAATAGAAAACATACAGTAGAGCTGGGCATTTAGACTAATATAATGACATTAAATGGTTGGAGGCTGATAGCTTTGGAGGGTTTTGTTTGTTTTGCTTTGTTTTTGCTAAAGACAGCTATTTTTAAGGAGAAGAGGGCAGACATTCAGTAAATTCACATTCAAGCTAAGCTAATGAGAGTCTGCATAGTAACCATTAAGTCAGTGAACTGGCTTACTAGCACATCAGTTGTTTATATGTAAATTATGCTCTGTAGCCATACCTACCATATATTAAAGCCTTCTAGCCATCAGGTTTTGTGCAGAGGCCTTTACAGTTGTCATCCTCACCGAAACCCTGTAAAGTAGGTAGTTGTTCCCTCACCACACGGCAGAAGAAACAGAGAGTTTTAGAGACTTCGCCATTTTATTAGCCACCCAGTGAATAAATGATAGGTCTGTGTCTAACCAGATGCCGTAATAGGTTAGCCTGCTTCTGGATATTTTGTTCTCAGATATTTGAGAACATCCTTCTTGCAGACTTGTATAATATATAATATTAATGTGTACTATCTTGAAGAGGACGTAAATTATAATATAACTTAATCTGGGTTGTCAAAATTTCTGACATACATTAGCCTATACATAGGATTCTTAAAGTTCTGTGGGTCTTGTGAATTTTTAATAGATCTTGGTCACGTACATGAAACTGCTCTTTACGTTCTCCTTTTGCAGTATTTTATACACTTAGCCTAATGGTTGAAAGCACAGAGTGGTTAAGAGATCCTGTCAGAATCCTAGCTCCACCCCTTCTTAGCTATGTAACTGTGGACAGATTATTTACCCTCCCTATGCCTCAGTTTCTGCTATAGGAAAGGTGTAATAATTGTACCTACTTCATTGGGATTCTGTGGCCTCTGAGAATAATACTGTATGACAGCACTGTGTGGCAGTCAGTATAATTCAGTTTTTCCGCAAATGTTTATTAGATGTCTGCTGCGTAGGTAGCGTAGCTTAGAGGTTAAAAGTGTAAGTTTTCATGGACAGGCATGGTGGCTCATGCCTGTAATCCAAGCATTTAGGGCAGTGCCTAGCACATAGTGAGCGCTCCATAAACATTACCTATTGTGATTATTGTAGTTACTATTTTTATTGCTGTGTTTTATTGTTAAATTTTCATTCCATATTTTTAATATACACAATATTTTTTATAGATTGTATTTGCTATAATTTTCTAATTGGGGGTCACTGTATGTAATTTTTAAATCTCTTTCACCTGTATAGCTTTGCAAATAGTTCATATTTAACATTTACTATGCTTTTTCAATATACCATATGAATTATTTCTAAATGGAGTGAGTTAGCTTCGGTTATACTTAATATTTTTTTATCTGGCTGAATTAACTCTTATAATTATTTTAATTTCAGGACATGGCCCAGTAATTCATAATGCTGAAGCTAAAATTCAGGAATACATTTCTCACAGAAATACTCGAGAACAACAAATTCTTACATTATTTCGTGAAAACTTTGAGAAATCATTTACAGTAATGGAGCTTGTCAAAATTATTTACAAGGTAATTTTCAGTTTTCTTATTTTGTATATAGCCACAAATTTATTAGAATTATCTATTTAGTAGACTATAGAAATGGTAAACTTATCATTATCCTAGATCAGAAGTTATGTCACTTTTCTAGACTTGAGACCAGTCTAAACTTTCTACACTGCTAAACTTAAACAAAAACTGGCCTTAGCGAACAAAGATAGCCATTTCAAGCCATCATTGAACTTTATATATTTAACTATGTAGGAGAAACCACCAACAGCCTGATGATTACATTTTGTAATAATTTTTGCATTATTCTAGCCATCTTCATTATCTGGTGTCCTAGCCTGCATCGAGAGGAGGGGTGACCTGCTAGAGACAAATATTGGGATGATAACAGTGAGAAGAAGTAGCAAAGCAGTGAGAAATAGTAGCAATGCCAAACAATGAAAAAAAGAAAAAAAAAATCAAAGAACATGAGTAAAGTAGTATGAAGGAAAAAGCTTTACACCTCAGTGGCCTCTGAGAATATCACTGTATGACAGCACTATGTGGCAGTCAGTATAATTCAGTTTTTCAGCAAATGTTTATTAGATGTCTGCTGTGTGGGTAGCATAACTTAGAGGTTAAGAATGTAAGCTTTTGTGGCCAGGCCTGGTGGCTTATGCCTATAATCGCAGCATTTTGGGAGGCTAAGCAGGAGGGTTGCTTCAGCCCAGGAGTTCAAGACAAATTGAGGCAACATAGTGAGACCTCATCTCTGTAAAACAAAAAAAAAAATTGTGATGGAGTTTCACTGTTGTTGCCTAGGCTGGAGTGCAATGGCATGATCTCAGCTCACTGCAACTTTCACCTCCTGGGTTCAAGCGATTCTCATGCCTCAGCTTCCCAAGTATCTGGGATTATAGGTGCGTACCACCATGCCCAGCTGATTTTTGTGTTTTTAGTAGAAACGAGGTTTCTCCATGTTGATCAGGCTGGTCCCGAACTCCTGGCCTCAGGTGATCCGCCCACCTCAGCCTCCCAAAGTGCTGGGATTACAGGTATGAGCCACTACACCCGGCCCAAAACATTTTTTACATGAGCCAGGCGTAGGTGGCACATGCCTGTGATCCCACCTGCTCAGGTGGCTGAGATGGGAGGATCACTTGAGCATGGGAAGTCAAGGCTGCAGTGAGCCAACATCGCACCATTGCACTCCAGCATAGGTGACAGTGCAAAACTGTTACCTCAAAAACTTTTCAAAAAAATTAAATTTAAATTAAATTATATAGAAATATTACCCTGTAACATAACAATTAAATTATAGGGCCAACTGTCTGTGGCATCATCTAAACGTTCTATGAATAATTTTTACATTTATTAATTCATAAAATATTAATGTGTTTCTGCTATGTATTATGCTAAACACTGAATATTCAGTGATGAACAAAACAGATACTGCTACTGGGCCAACAACAAGAGCGATACTCCGTCTCAAAAAAAAAAAAACAGATACTGCTGCTGTCTTCATGGTGCTTACAATCTATTCTATCTATAGGAATAGATAGAATATAAAGCAAAATTTATACAAAGTGAAATTGTTTAGGTTATTGCTAGTTAAAAATGTAACTTTTGTTACATTTTATTTTTCTTCAAAGCTTTCAAAAAATTAACTGTGTTCTTTTTTTAAAAAAAGTAATTTTTTTCGCCCTCATTTTTATTTTAGAATACTCCTGAGAATTTACATAAAATGGCTAAACATAATCTCTTGCTTCATTTGAAAAAACTAGAAAAAGAAGGAAAAATATGTGAGTATGTTTCCAAATTTTCTTCTGTTACCAGCATTTAAAATATTTTTACAGATGCCTTAGTTTCCTTTAAGGAAAAATAATACCCATCAAAGTTCTCCCGTGAATATCACTTTAAGTTGGAGAAACAGATACTAGGATGGTCAGTAGCACAAGGCCAGTTGACCACAAATTGGAACCAAAAGCTCACATGAGAATTAGAATCTCAGTTGGAATTCCAATCCTACCCACCAGAATGGCAATAGAAGACATGTAGTAGGAAGATAACTTCTCCCAGACCCCAAAACATCAAAGAATTTTACACGAGGTAGATTTGGGAACAGCCAAAGGTTTTAAACAGTAGTAAAGGTGGTAAGCTCAGAGATATTAAAGCAGTAATTATATAATCATTTTCCAGTGTTTGTTTAATTTGTCAAACTAACAATATAGAAATGTAGTCCTTAAAATCAAGAATTTCTAAGCTTGAATTTCATGTAGAAGCCTTAGCAATGTTTTTACATATACTAAAAATACCCAACTTTATGTTGAGCAACAAAATTTTAAGAATGAGTGCTTTTTCTAGCCACAAGATAACTTAAAATCCAGTGTTTTCACTTATCGGTTGTTAAATTTTTACTCTTTGATTTTCTTTCTACAGTCTGCAACACAGATCCTGACAAGAAATGGAAAGCTCATCTTTAATTTCAGATTAAAGAAAGCTTGTTTTATTTTGCTTTGAGAGTATGGTATGTTTTCTTAACTATAGGTTATTTATAGAGAATATAAAAGTATAAAACATTAAAAATAACCCTAGATATACTTTAAAATAATATTTTGCTAAAATATGTAAATTACACTATATAGCCATATGATAGGTTATTTCTCTAACCTTGGTCTTATAACGTTTTACCAAAAATTCAGACTCTAATAATTTATCAGTTTTCAATGGATTATGTAAAATGGTTACTTTAAAAATAATAAAATTTATCTAATTTAAACTTGATATTATTTTTGGTGGTTAGTTATCTATTGCTAATGACCAGTAATACAGTTTTCTATAGCTACTTTATTTAACAGCACAGATTTCTATGCACCCTTACTCTTCCCTCAACCCTTATCTCTATTTGTACATAATCACTTTGTCTTGATGTTTCTATCAACTATATAATGACTCTCTATTGGTTCTATCACTCTATGTCATGTGTATTTTCTTCATCTGGTATACCACAAATGATCCATGCAAATGAATTTTTGGTGACTGGAAAATGTTAAATTCCCAATTTAAAGTATTACATGATAATTATTTCTGTAATCCATTAATGCAACCAACATACTTTCCAAGTTTAAATTTTAGTATGTAAATAGTCATCAGCTTATATATGAATTATATACCAAAAGTTTACTTTAAAGAATTATAAGAGGGCATTTTTTATATTTTTATATAAGTAATGTTTTTATATAGTGGTTAGGTTCACAAGGTAGTCCACCAACGCTTATTTAACTTACACAGTTATCAAACTCTCATACTAGCATAAGCCTAGAATCCTGAGTATACTTTGTTTATTCTTCCCTAATGGGTGAGACTTTAAAAAATTTTTTGTTTATTCATTTGGTTTTGAGACAGAGTCTCTCTCTGTCACCCAGGCTGGAGTACAGTTGCACAATCTGAGCTCACTGTAGTCTCTACCTCCCAGGTTCAAGCAATCCTTCCACTTTAGCCTCCTGAATAGCTGGGACTACAGGCACAAAGCACCACACCTGGATAATATTTTTATTTTTTTTTTAGATAGAATCTCACTACGTTGTCTAGGCTGGTCTTGAACTCCTTGGCTCAAGCTGTCCTCTCTCTCTCCACCTCCCAGACTGCTAGGATGATAGACATGAGCTTCCACACCCAGCCAGACTTAAAATTTTTTTTATTTTCTTTGGTAGCTTCACCTCTGTCTGCCTCTTTTCCCAAGGTCCCTAGCATTTTCATGCCATTCTAATTCACTTATTCTCGTGCTTTGAAGACCTAGACCCATATTCCTAAAACTGTTTCTTATTACAAAATAGCTGTAAACTCAAAAGCAACCTAATTGAAAAATAGACAAAGAACTTGGACATTTCTCCAAAGAATATATAGAAGTGGCCCATAAGCACGTGAAAAGATAGTCATCATCACTTATCATTAGATGAATGTAAGTGACAACGATGAGATACTGCTTCAGGACCATTAGGATGGCTGTTATTAAAAATTTTTTTAAACAGAAAATGACAAATGTTGGCAAGAATGTGGAGGAATTGGAGCCCTTGTGCATTGCTAATAGGAACATAAAATGTGTAGCCACTATGGAAAACAGTATGGTACTTCCTCAAAAAAACCTAGACTTATCATATGATCCAGAAATTTCACTTCTGACTATATACCAAAAAAATTAAAAGCAGGGACTTGAACATCCATGTTTACAGCAGCATTTATTCACAATAGCCGAAAGGTAGAAGCAACCTAAATGTCCATTGAAAAATGACTGAATAAAATGTACATGCATACAGCAGAATATTATTTTTCTTCTTAAAAAGGAGGGAAATTCTGACATGTGCTACAACATGGATGAACCTTGAAGACATTATGCTAAGTGATATAAGTCTGTCACAAGGATAAATACTATATAATAATACTTATAGGAGGTGCCTAGAGTAGTCAAATTCATAGAGACAGAAAGGGTGACAAGGAGGAAGGGGAAATGGGAAGTTAGTGTTGATGTAAGGAGTTTTGCAGTTTGGGCAGATGAAAAAAGTTCTGGGGACAGGTGGTAGCAGTCATTGCAAAACACTGTCAATATTTATGTCACTGAATGGTAATGTGCTGTGTCACTAAATGATGTGTTAGCGTTCTCCAGAGGGGCAGAACCAATACGATATATGTATATATAAAGGGAGTTTATTAGGGAGAATAGGCTTACACAGTTACAAGACAAAATCCCACAATAGGCTGTCTGCAAGCTAGGGAAAAAGAGAAGCCAGTATCATGGCTCAGTCCAAGTCCAAAAGCCTCAAAACCAGGGAAGTTGACAGTGCAGCCAAGGCTGAAGCCAAAGGCCCCAGCGCTGCTGGGAGGCTACTGGTGCAAGTGCCAGAGTCCAAAGGCCAAAGAATCTGATGTCTGAAAGCAGGAGGAAGCAGATCGGCATGGGAAGAGAGAGAGAGAGCAAGAAAACCCAGCAAGCTGTTTATTCCCCTTCTTCTGCCAGCTTTGTTATAGCCACACTGGCAACCAGTTGGATGGTGCCCAGCCACATGGAGGATGGGTCTTCCCTCTCCCAGTCCACTGACTCAAATGTCAATCTCCTCTGGAAACACCCTTACAGACACACCTGGAAACGCTTCACTAGACTTCGTGTCATCCTTCGGTCAAGTTGTTCCTTTCCATGTTTAGTTCTTCCTTCAAAGCTTTTGTAAGTCAGGCCTGGTGGTGACAAAATCTCTCAGCATTTGCTTGTCTGTAAAGGATTTATTTCACCTTCACTTATGAAGCTTAGTTTGGCTGGATATGAAATTCTGGGGTGAAAATTCTTTAAGAATGTTGAATATTAGCCCCCCACTCTCTTCTAACTTGTAGGGTTTCTGCCAAGAGATATGCTGTTAGTCTGATGGGCTTCCCTCTGTGAGTAACCCAACGTTTTTCTCTGGTTGCCCTTAACATTTTTTCCTTCATTTCAGCCTTGGTGAATCTGATGATTACGTGTCTTGGGGTTGCTCTTCTTGAGGAGTATCTTTGTCTGCTTTGTGCTGGGTACTGGGGCAGGCCCTAGGGATACAAAGGTAAACAACAGAAGCTCATATTTTTGTTATAAAGTCACACAATTACCAAGTGCTACAGTAAAAGAAGAGGAGCTAACTTGGCTGAGTTATAGAAAGCTGCTTAGAGCACCCTGAGCTCAGTCTTAAAAGATGAGTATGTGGTAGGCAGACGAAGCTAGGGGTGTTTGTATGGGAGATGGGAGGAATTTTTCCAGTTGGAGGAAATCATGTATGCACATGAACAGATATGGCAGAGTATCATATGGTTTAGGAACTAATTTATATGATTAGAATGTATGGGGGTGCTTCATTGAGGTCATAGGGATAACAAGAATCCCATGGGAACACAGAAATCACAAAGAAACCAATGTATTGTCATCCAGCAGTGCTTCACCCAGCTTAGAGTATGTATATATATTAGGAATTGACAAGCAGTTCAGGTTCCAGGGCAGTTCTAGTACTATTTTGTTGTAACCTCACAGTAAGAGTTGGTCCTCTTCTATTATGGTGATTTCATTATTCTATTCATTTCTAACACTTCAGACAATTACTTTACCTTCCATTCAGAACACCCAGAAGTTTTTGCTTACTCATTTTCTGTTTATTCAAGAGTTTCCAAAGCCGGCTTGTCATCACCTTTGCCTTCTCTCTGCATATCTTCAGCCTCTCTTTGGCTACTGAGTAGCCCTCTTTGTGTCTCAGGTACCAAGCTCCTCATAGAAAATGACCTGATTGGTATATTTGTTCTCTGTATGAAAGAATTTTCTTGCCACACTGTCTTAAATGTCACTGACCAGCCTTCATGCTGACTGCTCTGGACCAATCATCTGGATCCAGAAGTTTTATCAGAAGGGCACAGGGATCCCATTGAACAGAGGCAGCGGGGAGGGTAAACATTCTGATATTTTATCTATTATTATTTTGAGACAGGAAAAAAACAGAAGAGGTATCAAGGATACCTCAATAGGGGACAAGAGATGTGATAAATATTTAAGAAGAGGAATAGCACTTAGAAACCTATTAGATATTGAGAGATGGGGGATCAGGTAGAAAGAGAGAAGTCTAGAAGAGATAGATTTCTGGCTTGGGCAGCTGGGTAGATGTTGGTAACCAGATTGAGAGAATAGAGGAAATGGGACAGATAGAGTACAGAAGCAAAGAAAGATGCATTTTACTACACATACAAGTTTTAAGTACCAGGAAACATCCAAAGGGAGAAACCTAGTAGCACTCAGATACATGGAACTGCAGCTAAGCAGATAAGCTATATTTTGTTATAGGTAACAGAAACTTATTTCAACAAGCTTACATAAAAGGGCCAGGCCTGTGAACAAGAACAGATGTTTACATCCCATTAATACAACCCCAAAACCTCTCACCTCTATTTATCTTTGCAGGTAAGAGAACCCACAGTCAACTGGCTTCTACACATGATGAAGGACATAGACATGGTTATGGGAACTCTGGGCTTATTATTATTATTATTTTTTTTTTTTTTGAGACAGAGTTTCACTCTTGTTACCCAGGCTGGAGTACAATGGTGCAATCTCGGCTCACCACAACCTCTGCCTCCTGGGTTCAGGCAATTCTCCTGCCTCAGCCTCCTGAGTAGCTGGAATTACAGGCACGCGCCACCATGCCCAGCTAATTTTTTGTATTTTTAGTAGAGACGGGGTTTCACCATGTTGACCAGGATGGTCTTGATCTCTTAACCTCATGATCCACCCGCCTCGGCCTCCCAAAGTGCTAGGATTACAGGCGTGAACCACCAAGCCCGGCCTGGGCTTATTATTATTATTTTGAGACAGAATCTGCTTTATCACCCAGGCTGGAGTGCAGTGGCACGAACAAGGCTCACTGTAACCTTCGCCTCCCAGGCTTAAGCGATTCTCTCGCCTTAACTTCCTGAGTAGCAGGGACCACAGGCGCAGCGACCATGCCTGGCTAATTTTTATTTATTTGTTCATGTTTTGTAGAGATAAAGTCTTACCATGTTGCCCAGGCTGCTTCTTGAACTGAGCTCAAGCAATCCTCCTGCTTCAGTCTCCCAAAGTGCTGGGATTACAGGCATGAGCCACCATACCCGGGCTCTAGGCTCACGTTCTAAATACTCTATAACTAGAAGAACAAGCTCGTTTGTCTAGCTTCGAGATGAAAAATCCTAGGGGAAGAACTCAGTGATTTGTACTGGCTCATTACCCATTCCTTAGACCAGTCCCT